GGTTTTTGGGGGATGAAAAAAAGGAGTGAATTTTTATCATTGTAGGGTGGTTGTGTCCACACACTGCCAAGACACATTTATATACAAATGAAGATATTTTGCATCCAATGTCTCCTTTAAAATTAAAATATTATAATCCTAATTCAAGTGATGATGAAAGATTTCGAAAGTCTGACAGTAATCAGTGTTGAGCACTACTGAGCACTAGCACTACTACTAAGGTTAACCCTGCCTGGTTAGCATGTTTGAAAATGATTAACAGTTGAAAACATTAGAAATTTAGAAAAGTAATCAAAAAGTAAACAAATGTAATCAGCTACATTACTTTAATAAAGTAATTGAAAAGTTACACTACTTATTACATTTCAAGTAGGGTAACTTGTTATCTGTAACCTATTACATTTCCAAAGTAACCTTCCCAACACTGTCTTTGTAACACAGACAGTATAAAAAAGTCTTGTTAAATGTATAATAAAACTGGATGACTGCAACTGAACACTGTGAAAAAAAGTCTATGAATTATTGAAAAACAACTTACTATTATATTATTATTATGTAATTAAATTTAATTGTTTATTGTTTATTTTGGAGGGTAACATTTAAAAATGTGATTCTAAATGACAGTGGAAAAAAGGTAAATAAATATAAACATTTGCTAGCTGTTATAGCACAAAACTGTACAAAGGGCCCATTCGACCCCACTACTGTCAGACTCTGTTCCATGTTTTGTGTGTGTCCTGCTCCCCATGTGCCTTCCCATGCCCTTATTTGGTTAGTTTCCTGTTCCTCCCCTGATTACTTGATGTTTCATTGCTCCCAGGTGTGTCTCGTCATCCCCTCCTCCTGTGTGTATAAATAGTGTTCCCAGTCCCAAGTTCCCTGTCTGCTGAGAACGTCTTCCTGTGTTCGTCTCCCTTGGTTCCTCGGTGGTTCATGCAAATAAAGTCCTGTCAACATATTCTCCAGCGTCTCCTCGTCCCTCGTGTGTGTGCAACGTGACAACTACTGGGGATTATTCTTACTTATATAGTTCTATGAAGATTCAGTTGTGGTCAAAAGTTTACATAACCCTAGCAAAATCTGCAAAATGTTAATTATTTTACCAAAATAAGAGGGATCACACAAAATGCATGTTATTTTTAGTACTGTCCTGAGTAAGATATTTTGCATCAAAGATGTTTACATATAGTCCAAAAGACAAAAATGATAGCTGAATTTTGTCAGAAGCTACAGAAGACATCTATATGTTTCCCAGAAGACAAAATTATTACAATTTAGCCTGGACCTGGAGAGTTTTGCTGAAGAACAGTGGACAGTTGAACTGCTCAGGACAAATAAGGGACTCATGAACAACTTTTTCTTAATAACTGAACTTCAAAGGCATATGTTTTGTTATAGTTATGTGTCTACAGCAAAATGATTATTTAAATAACATGCATGCATTTAAATGAATTTATTCAAAGATTTGAATTAAATTCAATAGCATGCGTCCTGAATTACGTTCCTGTGTACCATGCTGCTGAGTGGTTTGTGATTGTAGCTCCGTGTAGCTTTGCTTTTCTGTTGAATCTCTATCTTACTATCACTCTCTGTTGTTTAAAGTGATAAAATATAACTTAATTCCCACCATATTTCTGATATTATCTATCAAACTAATCTGATTAATTTGATCGTTCGCTTTTATTCTAAAACAGGGAGTGCAGCGTGCGTGCAGCGCGTTAGCATTCGTTAGCAGTTAGCTTGTCCTTCGTGTTTCCATTCGCATCTATTGCTGTTTTCTTTTTTTCTCTGACTCCGTTTCTTTTCTCTCTCGCTCTGTTTTTTCACGAGTTCATCAAACAACAGTGGTAAGTCAGAATCATTCTTCAATCACGGTGAGTAATGGCTTCTTCTCCTGCTATTGTTGTTTGCACTGCTTGCCACATGTATAGTTTAGCTCTCTCTGTCGGC